TTGTTGTTGTTTTTTTGTTTAAGAGAACCAATCTTTATTGACTTTCATGAAAACGTAACAGCACTCATCAAAATAGCAAATAACAGTTCAGTCTAAGATATAAGCACCATGCATGCATACATGATCATGTCAGAGAATCTACACAAACGACTTTTGGGCCATCAAACATGAGTTCTGCATCCAGTAGATAACATCCACAGATTACAGAGTGCCCTTGTACAAAGTGATCTTTGCGGTAAGTTGATCGTAACTCACCTACCTTAACAAAGACTGAGCTATGAGTTTTGAACAACCGCACTCATCAGTGATCAACTGCAGTACTGTTTGCTCTAGAGACAAAAAACTGTCAACAAATTAAAATTGTTGAACATTGATTTGAAACCTTTAAAGCTAATTAGGGCTCCTTGCCTCCAGGCAGGAGACCTATTGTAATCGTTCGGATTATTATGTTTTACAGATTTAAGATAGTATGCAGCAGAGAGTGTTTGGGTGATCCTGGCAAAGTCAGGCTGGTAAGGCTCATCATCAGCTCAGGGCCCTTGCCCCCTATACACGCAGCCCAGACAGCGAATGGGACTTCTCCCAGGAAACGCTGCCTAGTCGAACCCACCAAGAACTTTCCGGAGAATATGAAGGCTCCCCAACACTGCAGCCTTCTGCATTACCCAGAGTGTCAGAAGGGCTGTGTTCCCGGTGGAGAACCCTGGCATTCTCCTGACCTGCGCCAAGAGATCCGGAGGTACCAAACCAAGGGCACCGAGAACAATGGGGAGCCTGACGACAGTGTACTTGGGATGCAAGCGAGACATTTGAAAGGCGAGGTCCGCATATTTATCATGCTTTTCCTTGATCTTGTCAATCACATTGCTGTCAAAAGGGACAGAAAATTATTATTATTATTATGTTTTACAGATTAAAGATAATATGCAGCAGAGAGGGTTCGGGTGATCCTGGCAAAGTCAGGCTGGTAAGGCTCATCATCAGCTCAGGGCCCTTGCCCCCTATACACGCAGCCCAGACAGCGAATGGGACTTCTCCCAGGAAACGCTGCCTAGTCGAACCCACCAAGAACTTTCCGGAGAATATGAAGGCTCCCCAACACTGCAGCCTTCTGCATTACCCAGAGTGTCAGAAGGGCTGTACTCCCGGTGGAGAACCCGGGCACTCTCCTGATCTGCGCCAAAAGATCAGGAGGTACCAAACCAAGGGCACCGAGAACAATGGGGAGCCTGACAACAGTGTACTTGGGATGCAAGCGAGACAATTCAAAGGCGAGGTCCGCATATTTATCATGCTTTTCCTTGATCTTGTCAATCACATTCCTGTCAAAAGGGACAGAAAATTCAATGATATATATAAATTCATTGGCTTTATCAAAAAGGACAAGATCAGGTTTGTTGGCAGGAATTCTTCTGAGGCTGTATATGGGCCTTTTCCACAGAAGTTTGAAAGCATCATTTTCCATGACGCCCTTGACATGTTCAGGGTCGTACCATGGATGGACCTCGGAGTCAAAGCCACAGACATGTCGGAGACGGTAGTAAAAGCAGCGAGCCATGCCATCATGTCGTTTAAGATATGCTGTTTGTGCCAAGGAAGGGCATCCACTGACAAGGTGTTGGACAGTCTCCGTGAATTAATTGCAAAGACGACATTTCATATTGATATTTTCTTTAAGAATCACATTTAGGCGATTGCGAGTGGGAAGTGACTGGTCCTGAGCAGCAAAAAGGAAGCCCTCAGTTTCACATTTAAGACCAGCCGACTTCATCCAGGCGAAGGAGTCGGAGGGATTACTATTCTGTTCCACACACTGCATGTACACACGATGCAATGGCTTCTCAGAAAGCTTCTCCACAAAAGACCGACTCTGGGCAGACTTGGTGAAGGACTTCACCTGGTTTACTCCCATCGCTGTACCGTCCAGCAGTACATCACCATCAGCAAAGTCAACCTCAAATTTCAGATTCTGTCCAACAACCTTGGCACGCTTAAAATAGCTGTGGAATTCCTTGCTTTCATCATGAGTCTTCACATGCATCACCAGAGGATCATCCGATAAATACATATGTGCAAAAGTACACAATAAAAATCTGTCATGAAGGGCCTCCACATTAATCAAACCCCGACCTCCAGAATTGATTGGTATACACGGTTAAGAGAGGAACGAGGGTGGTGGGCTCTGTTATCAGACATGATCCTTCTGGTCAGGCGGTCAAGACTCTGGATGTCTTGTTTCGTCCAATCAACTACTCCAAAGGAATAGGAGAGGACTGGCACAGCAAAAGTATTGGTTGCTTTGACCTTTATTATTATTATGTTTTACAGATTAAAGATAATATGCAGCAGAGAGGGTTCGGGTGATCCTGGCACAGTCAGGCGGGTAAGGCTCATCATCAGCTCAGGGCCCTCGCCCCCTATACACGCAGCCCAGACAGCAAATGGGACTTCTCCCAGGAAACACTGCCGAGTGGAACCCACCCAGAACTTTCCGGAGAATATGAAGGCTCCCCAACACTGCAGCCTTCTGCATTACCCAGAGTGTCAGAAGGGCTGTGTTCCCGGTGGAGAACCCGGGCATTCTCCTGATCTGCGCCAAGAGATCCGGAGGTACCAAACCAAGGGCACCGAGAACAATGGGGAACCTGACGACAGGGTACTTGGGATGCAAGCGAGACATTTGAAAGGCGAGGTCCGCATATTTATCATGCTTTTCCTTGATCTTGTCAATCACATTCCTGTCAAAAGGGACAGAAAATTCAATGATATATATAAATTCATTGGCTTTATCAAAAAGGACAAGATCAGGTTTGTTGGCAGGAATTCAGAGATAAACAAAAAAAGGACTAAAGGAGTCCCCCTGAAACATTTCCCTTCTGATTGGAATAGATTCCGAAGTCTGTACCTGCCCTTGCGAGTACATCTCAAGTTGAGTCGACCAGCAACTCATTAAAGACTTGAGCAAATCAAGTAGTCACCCAGGGAGGTCAATACAATGAAGAGACTTCAGAATCCATTCGTGAGGGGCAGAGTCATATCCTTATTTGTAATCAATCCAGCACATGGAGAGGTTTCGGTGATATATTTTAGCCTCTTCCAAAATCATTTTCTGTACAAGAAGTTGATCCTTGCACTCCCAACATCCCTTTCTCGCTCCCTTCTGTTCTCTGTAAATTAAATCATTGGAAGAACAGTAGGATGACACAAGGTTTGTCAAACACCCTGTGAATATTTTATACTGAGTATTCAAACATGTGATAGGGCGGAAGTTTTTGGGATCAGTCAAGTCTACTTTCTTGGGAAGGAGTATTGTGCGACCTTTGCAGAACCATGGAGGAACATCACCTGTGTCCTCAATAGTATTGAAACAGTGAAGTAATGGTGTTTTGGACACAGGGGAACAGTTTCCAATACAGGTTTCGAATGCCATCAGGCCCTGGAGCTGTATTAGATTTGGACTTTTTGATGACACTTTTCAGGCAATCTAGTGAGATGTACAGACAAACGAACTGGTTATTTTCTCATGAATTGCATGGTCTCAAACACTGACCCATGGTGCCTGCAGGTTACAGTCGCCGGGTACAGACCACAACCGTTTCCAGAACCTTTCATTGGCATCCATGGGAGGTCGTTTATCATCCTCACCATCACCGTTTGTTTTCAGTTGCCTGTAGAAGTGCTTTTCATTATTTCTTAAAAGTTTATTTTGTTTGATTAAAATATTTTTCTTTTCCTATTTTTCTTTCTTTCTGTCCAAATTATTTATTTTGCCTTAAGGGAATTGACAATTTGGAGAAGTACCTTTTCTTTCGTTGTCTTGTATTGTAGTTTTAAGTTTTTCCAAATTGCCTTTTACCTTATAGACATGGGATTCCCTGATAATCTTTTTTTAATGCACAGCTCAATCCAGGATTATTATTATTATTATTTATTATTCCGCCGATTTTTGTACCAAACATAACTCCTAAACCAATGCTCCCAATCGCTTACAATAAATCAAACAGATGCGCACTGTGATGTAGATATTCCTCTTAAAATCTCTAGGCCCTAGGTCCAATAGCAAAGGGGAGATAATTCAAAATTAAATCCAAAATTTTATAGTTTGACAGCAAATATCTCAAGAACTAATTGTTCCAACACTTCCAAATCTCATGTACAGATGGACAATCGAATTCCCAACAATTTTGCCTGACGGGTCAAGTCGCTAAAATGTACCGTTTGGCAGTTATTTCTGTTTTCAGTTTTGGCCATGTTTTTCAGCAGTTTTCTGATTAGTTTGCTCCCCAAATGTGCAAATTCTGCACAAAAATGACAGTATGACAGATGAAGTATTTGTGATTTCAGAACACTATAATTGTTTTTACCGTAGACCCAAGAACAACTGAGATACAGCCCTTTAAAGAGGGAACTATTTCTTCTCAGGAACTTCTTAAAAGGTACATCACCCCCCGCGACCCCGCCTGTATTTGAAGATCCTCTCGCCAGTCAAAAACGTTTTCTGACTCCGTTTTGGACGATGATTTCTAGCCCTCAGATACAATAGATAGAACTAAAGCCAAGGAGACCTCATCGTTGCTTGGAACTATATTTTAATATTGTAATCTTAATACGTGTTGTCTTTTGGAGAAAAAATATATATGGATATTGGTAAAGAGAAGACTTCATTTAAACACCAGGGCCTAGATTTTCGAAACTCTCTTAGCGCTAAGATAGTCGTAAGAGCCATACATTAACATTGACTTACGACTATGTTTACGCTAAGAGAGCTTCGAAAATCTCGGCCCAGGTTACAGATCAATAAGCTGATTTTTCCTACAGTCCACCAGCTGTTTATCCAACTCAGAAGGTATTGAAACATTTTGAAATCGCATATTCAATATCGACAATACTTTTTCATGTTGTTTGTAATTCCTTATGTAACAGCTGTGAAAGAAAGATTAAACAACTGAATATGTATGGATCCGCGTGATGAAGATGACTAGTCGCCCGATAGTCAGTCAAGTCCTTATGGTTACAGACCATTTGACAACTTCACATTCACACCAGATTCCAATCCTTGCTACGGGTGAGTACGTGTTACAGTTGTTGTTCTGGTTGTGTATGTTTTAATTCCTGTAGTAGTAGTATATATAAATCCTGTATCTTGCCAATATTTGACTATTGTTCGCATATTTGTGATAACTGTACGTCTGAGCAATCGCGTACATTAGAAAACTTACATCTTGATGCTCTGAGAACTATATGCGGTGTCGTTCGTGGCACAAGTCATAACAAACTTTATAATGAAACCAAATTTCAGTCCTTGCAAGATAGAAGGTACTGCCAGAAGTTAACTTTTTTCTTTAAGATGTACATCAACCGATTCCCAAAATATCTTTGTGACCTGATCCCAAACTACGGTCTATAACTTAAGAAATAACTCTGAAATACAAGGAATCCTTTTTACCTGCCAAAATAAATTTATGGAATGCCCTAACAAATTCCAAAGCGTCATGCAGTTTCACAGTATTTAAAACCTTAATTGCAAAATCCGAAAATAAGATTTACTTTGACCTTAATTATGGCACTTGTGTTTGCCAAATCGTTCACTGCCGCCTCAGGCTCGGATGTAGCGACCTAAACGCCGATAAGTATAACAGACATTTAATAGAAAGCCCATGTTCTTGTGAATATCAGAGTGAAAACGCCCTACACTATTTCCTCACTTGTGGTAACGATACTCAGATAAGATTTAATATGTATTTTTACACTACCGGCTATAACCTGGATACTATTTTGAATGGAAACAAAGAATTTATACTCCTTGTGTTAACCAGTAAATAGTTGAATTTGTCCACGATTATATCATCAAGACACAACGCTTCAAATTTTCTCAGTAAAATAATTAAATTGACCCAACAACTTTCTCATGATTGATTTCTACAATGGCTCGTTAGACACACACAACTGTAACTCTCTAACTTATGACTACTTGGAGAATAGTTGTATTTGATGTAATCTCTATACATTGATATATTTTTAAAAATATTAAATTCATGCAATAGTCAATATCGATGACGTCAAATCCTCCATTTCATGTTGTATTATATGTTGCATGGGAGCGGTGTTAACATAAGCAGTAATGCTTGTTCATCAATCCAAAAATATGTTAAAACCAATTCACGTAGTACTGATCCAGTATCATAGCAAGAAAGGTTCGATGCTTTAAACACTTCTTTATTCTATAGTGATGCGCCGCTTTGGTATAGGTTCTGATACCGTTGTCTCGCAACAGTGAAGTACCTACAGCTCAGTACCGACGTGAATACATTAACAGGGATAAAGTAAAAAATGTAATAGCCTCATAAAGAGTACCTTTTCAGTGACGTGTTGTTTAAATTTCATTACATATATTCCCGAGTTGGTTAGATTCGTCATAATGCTATCTATTACTCTTCAAAAATAAGAAACTTGACATGCTGTTTTGGAGTGCACATAACTGATTCAAACATGGCATCATTGCCAAATTACAGTAAAAGTGTCAAAACATGATGAACCAGAAAGTGTTTGGTAAAACCACAGGGGCTATTAAAGCCACTTGGTTAGAGTAAAATGTCAGTATCTGGTGTGATCAATATCAGCTTGGCAGCGGCGTCCAATAAAATAAAGGAGATACCGAATGCTGTCTTGAGGAATGTTTGGATACTCCTGCTGCAGTGCTTCCTGGCAGTTCTTGTAGTGTCTGAGGAGGTGGATTACGCTGGCACTAGCGTCCTTTAAGAGTAGGTAGATGTTCAATGGCGGACACATCGGGTGATCGAGAAGGCCCTGGTAACATCTGAACGTACTTTCGCTGGAGGAAGTCCTGGCAAATACGCAAGAAGTGAGGTAGAGCACTTTGATGTTTGAAAGATCCACCGTTGAAGTTGTTGAAGGGAACGACGTGACGTTGCGAATTAGCGTCACTATAGCGAACCCCATTCAATGCACCAGACACGTGCAGAAGAGCTGTCCGGTCATTATGGTGGATACCTTTTCGCACCATGACACTTCCACGAGAACATGTATCGACCTGCTGTACACAGTTATCGGCGTAACGTTCGTTCCGACGTCTGTATACACGTGAACGCCCATGAGCAAGTCTGAGAAGAAACCGAGACTCATCTGAGAACAAAATTGTCCTCCATCTTACCCGCAGGCCATCTTACTCGTTGTCTGCACCATTGTAGACGTTCAACCCGGTGACGTTTCGTCAAAACGTTACCTCGAACTGGTCTTCTGGCAAAAAGTCCGGCTTCCCGTAGCCGATTGCGCACTGTCGGAGATTCGGTGCAGTCCAGGGATTTTGGTTGTTGTGGATGTTGCAGTCGTGGTGCGTGAACGAAGGTGTCTCAACTGGATACAGCGATCCTGGGCGACGGTGGTAACTCTTGGTCGACCTGACGTGGGTCTGGTATAGTTGTATCGGGTCCATGGGGTTGAGATGGTCTGCCTGGACACGCCGAAGTGCCTTGCAACCTCATGCTGCGATGCCCCTCCTTGTAAACGGGCGATGGCGTTGTGTTGTTGAGCCCCTGTCAGTCTTTGTCGTTTATAGTGGCTCAAAGCAATGCCTGTGGAGTAGCGATGACGTGGCCTTTTAGAGCCTACAGTCATAAGTTTCAACTCGGGGTGATACACAATTTCATGATGCACGTGTACAAACAGATTTTAATAGATGCACACAGAACTTAGCCTTACGTGAAAAAGGCTTTAATACAAGTTTTATCAGTTTTATACAAAGTTCGAACCATGTCACCCAATGTGTCTTTTTTAATATTTAATACTCAGATTCAACCCATTGCATCTGAAATATGGGGTTTTGAGCGTTTCGATTGTACATGGAGATTTTTTAATGTGGTCGATTCCCTTTGTCTATTAATTCTCAAATATGATGTTTTAGATATTGGTTTAAGATTCAAACTATGCATAAACAATGTCTGCCAAAATTAGTTTACAATATGCTTTTAAATCTGGATTATTTGGGAAAACATACTAGGAGAACTGATATCAGACATTTATTATTTACTCACGGCTTTGGTTTCATATGGTTGTGTCTGACAATTGGCGATGTGAACAGGTTTATTAATTAATTTCGTGTTACATCAATAGGTATGTTTAATAGAAAATCCACCTTAGATTCAACTCATGGTATGAATATTATGGAACCTTTAAAACGTTGCTCCAGCCAGAAAAAAATATTTATCATTAGTTACAACATATGGTTTTGGTTTGTTATCTTGGTGGTGTGTGGTCCTGTGCACAGAGCTCAGGTCACGAATCAGTTGAAGTTAATCAACGTCGAGCTCGGACAATCCTTGGATGGGTGACCGTGTTTGGCAGCCTGACTCCTGAGAGTCGGACTTCAGTCCTGCCCCACAAAGAAACACATGCGATGCATGTGGTCTCACCTTAGGCAAGTGAGTTTCGGTAAATTGCCACTGTTCACCCAGCAGACAATTGAACCTTCTAGCCCCTAACAGGCAGCTTGGGTTATCCGAGATCATAATAATCAGATTTTGATTAAGCGCCGCGAGCAATCACTTGGTGTTTGGTGACTGGGTCTACTCCCATTTGTGAGAACTCCCAGTTGTGAGACTCCCAGTTGTGAGACAGTGGAGTAGGTACTTAGCAAAGAAAACACACCTTACTCCCCAATCTGATAGAATGGATTAACCCCAGCTAATTATGGATTAGCTATTTAACTGAATCTTGTGGAGGTAACTTAATGAAACTCTAAAAGATAAAGTAATTAACCTACTCAGATAAATGGCTTTAAAAAAATAATCATTTTGTGTAGATAATCTGAAAGAGAAATTGATTTACCTACTCAGATTTACGTGTTTGAAATTTCTAGCAATAACTGTTATAACTATAATTAATCCAAATGTTTTTATTAACCTTTGACTGCTCTTTCCGATCACCATTATGGCAGGCTTTCAACAAGTAGAATATATCACCAGTTCACGATAATCTTTTTTCAGTATTTCAGTGTCTATTGAAAACAATAAATGCTTTTCAACGAACAATGTCTTCTGTGTTAATTAACTCATTAATGAACTATGCCTCCTGCGGGTACTCTTCAGCAACAGGGCTGTTCCCACTTTCATCGTAGGGATGGGGAAGCACCACCTGTGTGCACTGAACCATTAATTAATGTGTCTCACAACTGGGAGTTCTCACAAATGGGAGGACACCGGTGACTGCGCTATAGAAGATGACTTATTGTTATTATTATTATCTTTCATTATATTCCTTTATCATTTACTCTCATGTATATGGACCAGAGACACTTTATACAAAAAACACTCTTTTGACTTTGAGAATTTTTTTCTTAATTTCCAGTTATACACGTAGTGGGTAAAATGACTGATACATTGAATCTTATATAACTATCTTGTTGCAGATATACTGAAATGCCACGGAAAGCGACAACCATCCTGATGGTCGGTGTTGTGTTTGCTGGGTTCCTGCTTTTCCAGAATCTGGTGAGGAACTGAACATCTAGGATATGATCAATGTGAACACTCTGCAGGATGTACTGGTAACAGCGAAACCCTGCTTAGCGTGTATTCCTGTGTATATCAGTAAAAGTAAACCCTACTTAGTGTGTATTCCTGTGTGTACCGGTAACAGATAAACCCTACTTAGTGTGTATTCCTCTGTGTACCGGTAACAGCAAAATCTTTCCTAGTGTGTATTCCTGTCAGTGTGTACCTGTAACAGTTAAACCCTGCTTAGTGTGTATTCCTGTGTGTACCGGTAACAGATAAACCCTACTTAGTGTGTTTTCCTCTGTATACTGGTAACAGCAAAATCTTTCCTAGTGTGTATTCCTGTCAGTGTGTACCTGTAACAGTTAAACCCTGCTTAGTGTGTATTCCTGTATGTACCGGTAACAGATAAACCCTACTTAGTGTGTTTTCCTCTGTATACTGGTAACAGCAAAATCTTTCCTAGTGTGTATTCCTGTCAGTGTGTACCTGTAACAGTTAAACCCTGCTTAGTGTGTATTCCTGTATGTACCGGTAACAGATAAAACCCTACTTAGTGTGTTTTCCTCTGTATACTGGTAACAGCAAAATCTTTCCTAGTGTGTATTCCTGTCAGTGTGTACCTGTAACAGTTAAACCCTGCTTAGTGTGTATTCCTGTGTGTACCGGTAACAGATAAACCCTACTTAGTGTGTTTTCCTCTGTATACTGGTAACAGCAAAATCTTTCCTAGTGTGTATTCCTGTCAGTGTGTACCTGTAACAGTTAAACCCTGCTTAGTGTGTACCGGTAACAGATCCTACTTAGTGTGTTTTCCTGTACCGGTAACAGCAAAATCTTTCCTAGTGTGTATTCCTGTCAGTGTGTACCTGTAACAGGCTTAGTGTGTATTCCTGTGTGTACCGGTAACAGATAAACCCTACTTAGTGTGTTTTCCTCTGTATACCGGTAACAGCAAAATCTTACCTAGTGTGTATTCCTGTCAGTATGTACCTGTAACAGTTAAACCCTACTTAGTGTGTATTCCTGTGTGTACTGGTAACAGATAAACCCCACTTAGTGTGTATTCCTGTCAGTGTGTACCGTTAACAGATAAACCCTACTTCGTGTGTATTCCTGTCAGTGTGAACCGGCAACAGCTAAAAACCTACTTAGTGTGTATTCCTGTCAGTGTGTATCGGTAACAGCGAAACCCTACTAAGAGACTGTTCCTGTCAGTGTGTACCGGTAGCAGATAAACCCTACTTAGTGTGTATTCCTGTCAGTGTGTACCGGTAACAGATAAACCCTACTTAGTGTGTATTCCTGTCAGTGTGTACCAGTAACAGATAAACCCTACTTAGTGTGTATTCCTGTCAGTGTGTACCTGGAACAGATAAAACCTACTTAGTGTGTATTCCTTGTCAGTGTGTCGGTGAAACCCTACTAAGAGACTGTTCCTGTCAGTGTGTACCGGTAACAGATAAACCCTACTTAGTGTGTATTCCTGTCAGTGTGTACCGGTAACAGATAAACCCTACTTAGTGTGTATTCCTGTCAGTGTGTACCTGGAACAGATAAACCCTACTTAGTGTGTATTCCTGTCAGTGTGTACCTGGAACAGATAAAACCTACTTAGTGTGTATTCCTGTCAGTGTGTACCTGGAACAGTATAAACACCTACTTAGTGTGTATTCCTGTCAGTGTGTACTGGTAACAGTTAAACACTACTTAGTGTGTATTCCCGTGAGTGTGTACAGGTAACAGTTAAACCCCAGTTAGTGTGTATTCCTGTCAGTGTGTACCGGTAACAGATAAACCCTCCTTATTGTGTATTCCTGTCAGTTTGTACTGGTAGCAGTTAAACCCTATTTAGTGTGTATTCCTGTGAATGTGTACCGGTAACAGATAAACCCTACCTAGTGTGTAATCCTGTGAGTGTGTACCGGTAACAGATAAACCCCACTTAGTGTGTATTCCTGTCAGTGTGTACCGGTAACAAACGAACCCTACTTAGTGTGTATCCCTGTCAGTTTGTACTGGTAACAGTTAAACCATACTTCACATCTAGTGGTTCTTAGTCAGATATTTTCTTCACTATGAAATCTTGTTTTGCAATATGATCTATACTTTTGTTCTTCGGTGAGGAGAAAACACTGAAGTTCAACATTTTCTAAAAATTGTTGGCGGGTCCATATTTTCAAAACAATTACTAGTCAAGTGTCCCAATGCAAGGCTCGATTTAGCATTTAGAAATTGCACTGGTGCAACCTAAAACTGCAAAGTGCAAACACATATTTATACATACTTGTACACGGTGTATGTTCACAGACTCCATCGAGGAGTGTGTGAGGCAGTGAGTTAAAATTACAAGTCACATCGGCATTATTTTAGCCATATCGTGACTAAGAAAGTTGTAAAGTTATAAATGAATAAAAACAAACTAATATAATATACTTACCTGTCTACAAAGGACAGTAAAACAGCTAGGTTATCACAGGAATAAAGTTAAGACTAGTAATTAAATCTAACATATTTTAACTACAAATGACAATACAATATAAAAACAGGCTATATATCGAAACAACTGAAGGTAGATCACCATACTAGGCCCCACTGGGACTTACAGTACATTTGCTTCCTGCATGGGCCTACTCCATCGAGGAAACAGAATCACGAGGAACTGGTTTGGTTTTTGTCTGGAGCATCAAGGTCATCACCAAACAGGTTTCGTTTCCCTGAATCGAACCCTGCAATAATTGATTTTTTGTTGTCCTGATTTCAATTTGGATTTTATGTTTCCATGTATATGTAAACAAACACTTACAGACCTTTAACGAAAGAGTGTTTAAGGTTTGACATTTCTAAATTCGAAGGAGACTGTTCTTGTTATTTCATGTTTTATGATGGCAGAGGCAATCTTATATACTATAGGTAATAGGAGCATATTACTATCATACACCAGCAAACAGCAACAATCTTGAAAGTTCTGCAGACTAATTACATATCATATCATTGCTCAGAAACCCAGAAAAGATACCTAAGTAAGATACTTTCCATTTAATTTAACAGAAAATAGTCTACACATATGTCCTGTTGAATTTTATCAAATGATAACATTTTCTGATAAATATGTTGCTACCTTAGCAATATATCTGACCCTAGATATTTGTTACTAAAAATGATTCACAAAACAAAGATCTTCTGTTGATAGTTCATCACATCTGTATTTGAGGTTTATCTGAGAAAGATATTGTATGGAAACAAAACACATAAACATTATAAAACATCTGTCCATATATTTTCTGGTATAGGTATATGAGACAATTATGGCAAATATACTGAACAGCAAAAGAAACGCAAGTCTGGCTTTTTGTCAAGTTTTTGAATAGAAGACAACCCAAATTATGTCTAATGATTTATTCTATAGAAAACACTGTCAATGTAACAGCTAAAAGTTGCTGTTGACATTGAATTGCAATAAGTTCAAATTGATCACAGGCCGTCAAATGGAGATACCCCTGAACGCGAAAAGTGACAGTCTCTTTAGTAGCGCGTATAGCCACCTAGAGCGTGCACACAAGCCGTGCAACGTGGCCTCGTTGAGTTCACTAGAGTCTGAAAGAATGCCTGATGCAACTGGCTCCGCTCAAACACCAATCTCTATTCCAATTGTGCAAGTGTGAGTGGCTGTCTACCTGCAGCAATCCTCCGTTCAATGTCGTCCCAGAATGTTCAATGGGAGCCATATCCGGGGAAAGAGACGTTAATGTTGTTCTGAGCTAGATAATCCATCGACACCCTTGCTGTGTGAGGCCTGCAAACGTCGCTGGCGTTGTTGACGTGCCAAAATTGGCACCACATATGGCCTTCGGCAGTGGATTCCAGCAGCCCGAAGACGACGCCTAATCGTATCGCTGGACACTGCTCCCCTTGACACAAGGCTGTTACTGTTGCTGCTTGAGTTCGGTTCCTTAGATGAGTGACCCCGATGAACCGATCTTGCGCATGAGTTGTCACTCGTTGCTGTCCGGTACGGGGACGATCAGCAGCAACCCGCAGCGACGATTGAACAAGTCGTGTAATGGTGGTAAGATGACAGCCCAATTGTCTAGCTACAGCGGTTGCAGTGCTACCTCCGTGTAACTTTCCAATGGCCATTCCCCTCTGCTCAGTCGTTAGTCTAGGAATCGTTTGTGTGGCGTGTACACCTCCTAGCGTCAATACTGAACTGTTGTTTGACACAAACCTTTATAAAGGATGCTTTTCATCCATAACCGTCGATGCACGTGCTAAACTTATGGTTTTGCTGCACTGTTGGTGTGTTTGTGCGAATGTTTCGTATGGACGTCAAATTGCATGACATCATCTAATCTGGGATCATTACGTCACTTTACCATGAACGTTCCATAAACATGAACGGTTACCTTCATGAGATTTCATTTTTTCGAAACTTGCGTTTCTTTTGCTGTTAAGTATAGTTATTTTTCCACACCACTGATATTCAGACGAAAGATAGTAATTGAACATTGGTTAGTTAAACTTTGCTAATTCATTGATAGATTCTTTACCCGTGACCATTTTGGGAGAGTAAAATACTAGTAATATTATTGATAACAAGTCACACATGTAAGTATCTGAAATGTTGAAAACTGGAAACAGCTGTCAAACATTAAACATTGACAAATCGTCAATATTCAGCAAGGAGGTTTTATTTGTTGCATAAATATATGTCATTCAAACTGTTCTAAAGTGAGACACATAATGTAATATGAAAGCACAGTTGATTAAATCATCCCTAATCTCATGGGAAACTGTAATTGATGCTATATTAGAGTATATATTATAATATATACACCATACAATTCCTAATATTTCATTACAATAAGAACAGCATGAATGTTATTTTGAAACACATTTTTTGTCACGCCCATTAACGCGAACCACTCATTAACATGCCTCGCAATTTCGTGTTTCTTATCTGCATATTCAGTGCAGAGTCAAGTTATGGTCCTAATATCAACAAAAGTTCAAATAAAACATCCTCAGAAAATTGCATGTGGAATGTTTATCAACTACTGTTACCGGGTAACGCGAACATACCATGCCAAACAAGTTCTCTGATATCCAAATTATGTGGCTAGAAACAAAATGTCCTTTCCAAGTAACTATAATTAATATTACTAAATAGTGTTTTGGGTTTGACGTAGCGTGTCATGTTTGTTTTTTCGTACGTGTACCAGGATGCAACACCAGTTTTATGTGGGTTAGTGTCGGGAAGAAAAAAACATAAGGCTTAACAATTAGGACTGGTGAATATGTATTATTATCTGCAATGTTCGTGACATGACACGTTGGAATACACCTAATAGTGTCATTTGAATAAATGATGTGATGACATCGAAAATACAATTTCTTTACGACGAACATTTTCGAATTTAATTTTTCAGAAAAGTTATTTAATTTGTCGTCGTCTTGATATTTGCCGATACAATCATTTGAATTTTACACTCAGTTTAATACGTGAGGTGAGGTGAAAGTGGGTTTAACTTCGTGCTTGAGAATATTTCGCTCACATGACGACGTGCATGCGTGTGTATGTGTATGTGCGGCTGCTTGTACTAGCCCAGACTGAAGCTGGTCTTATAGTGCTTGCCCGCTGAGATACCATGCCACAGTGAAGCATGACTCAGACACATTATACTGACTCCGAGCCGACCAGTCCTTGTTGTACCCATTAATGCCGAGCGCCAGGCAGGGACCACAGCAAGTACCATATTTTAACGTATGACGTATGACGTTGGTATGACGCGATCGGGGATCGAACCCGCTCTCCGGGCAGACGCTCTAACCACTACCACGGAGGCGGTCCAGTTAAATACGTGATCGCGGAGATAAGAATATTAAAATCGATGATTTAACCATGTATACAGGTTCCCAACATGAAAGGCACTCCAGCGTCAATCAAGCAATTCAGGAAAATTTAAGAAAAATTACATTATGAGGTCTTCAGATGAAAGTCTGCAAGACCTATTGTTATTATCTGAATATTATTTTTAATTGTATTCTTTGCACAAATTTTGCGGAAGCTCTCCTAAACTAAGTTCTGGGTCGATTTTAATGAAACTTTCAAATTATAGTCTGTATGCTGAAATTGAGTTAAAACGAATTCCAACTTCCAGCTTCCGGTAAGGGCAGATAACCCTAAATGTCAGAACCTTTAAACCTCAATATTTCACAAACTGTAAGAGTTACATTAATCAAATGTTCACTAGATGTAGACAACATCCTCCTGCGTCGATTCAACGCATAGCGAAAGTGATAGATTTTCCGCCATTTTGAAAATAAAATAAAATTTTCGTCGATTTTCATGTTTTGACGGTGTCGGTGTACAACGTCATCGTATCCCAATTGCGTAGATCGATGCTCATGCTGTTGATCACTGGATTGTCTGGCCCAGACTTGACTATTTACAGTCTACTGCCATATAGGCAGTGACACTAACTAAACTTAGTCTAACAAACTTTAACACTGAAGCCCTATACAAACAGTGTCTTCATCTCATGCGTAAACTGATATCTTTTAATGTTAACCCATCTGTGATGTCATCTTTTTATGTAGCATTTATTCTGAGTATTTTAACATTTTTCCTCCATTGTTGGTACGGGTCTCTCTCAGTTCATCTCAAATCTAAAATTGACAAAATTGTTAACACTGCAAGTAAAATCGCTGGAGTCAGATTTGAATGTTTATCATCAATATATGAGCGGCAAATCGTCAATCAAGCTGTCAAAATCATATCTGACCGTACTCACTACTTAAATTCGGAATACAACCTCCTCCCTTCAGGCCGCCGCTACAAAGTTCAAATTGTGAAAACAAAGAGAGCCCGTACATCTTTTATTCCAAGTACCATATCTCTCTTAAACAAATGTGAAGATACCTAAATCAAAGAATTTATGTGGATATGTTTGGTATCTCTCTAATGTGTCAGTGGCTCTGCTGATGTAACTCTGATGTATTATTCTATTCTATTCTATTCTATTCTATTCTATTCTATTCTATTCTATTCTATTCTATTCTATTCTATTCTATTCTATTCTATTCTATAGCTGGCATATTGCTGAGTGCGGCGTTGAACAACCAGCCAGCATACATCACCTTATACATCCATATACGCAAAACAAAAGTCGATTCTTAATAAAACTCCGGTTGTTTGTACCTGTAGGTGAGACGCTCAGTGAATGGCAATGTCCACCAGATGGTTAAGACAATAAAGAAGGAGGGCAGCGTTCCTCTCAGAAGCAGTTTAAACAAGGCCATACAGGTAAGCAACAGCTGAACACGACGATTCCAAGTTTGTGTCGCTTAGGGTATGAGTGGGTGGGATAGTTTGGTTAATGGGATTTTCTAATGCATACTTGCATCATAGGTTTAGAGGACAAGCCCAAAGTGTGGCAGTTTTAAAAATTGTACTGTTTCCTGATACAGATACGATAACATATCTTGGAGTCGATCTCATAATCTTAGTTGTCTGGTGTGCTTTAGGTGAAGTAAGGGTCGAAGTGGTGTATTGGGCAAAGGAACGCAACCCACGGTAAACAGGTTGCCCTATTCGGTCGCCTCTTACGACCAAAAATGGGGTCCTGTGGACCAATTCTGTCACGGGTCCACACGGGGGAAGAGCAATTAGCGTTTCCAAGCACTCATCACGAGGCGGTTGCCCTTCATCAGTGCCACATGTGTCCTGTATGACACTGAATTGTCTTTTCACTTCAAATAATATCAAACGTAATAATATCAAACAAATTGCAGGGCGTGCTTGTTTCTTTTCAAAAAATCTAATCCAGTTCATTATAAATCGAAGGAACATATCCGCAGAGTATCATTACATATCGTAGAGGGATTATGTTTTATTAGTTGTGTGCAGCTGGGACAGGATCGATGGTATAAGAACATAATGTTATTTTGTCGGTGTAAGGCGTCCAGCCGTGCAGCCTGGACAGGTTCTCTCATTAAAACGCTTGCTGAAGACCCGCCTGTTTTCAACTCATTACAACTAACCATATTTCCCTCCCTTTACATATGTATATTACTGTAACATGCCAGCGCTTTGAGCATGTGCTTTGCACATGGAGAAGGCGCGTTACAAATGTACATTTATTATCATTGTTATTATTATTATGTCATTTTAACATAACACCAGTGTGCCTGTATTAGTTGTGTGGCTTTTGTGTTCAGTCGTGTTCGTGTAAAAGTTTAATTAATTTTAAAGTTTAATTAATTGAAAGAATGATTATTTCAGAAGTTGTCTTCTGCAACCATCTATCAATAATCGAGTTTAAACCAGACAATCCAGGGATCAACACCATGAACATCGACCTTCGCAGCTGGGATACGATGACATGTGTCAACCCAGTCAGCAAGCCTGACCACCTGATCGCGTTAGTCGCCTCTTACAGCAGGCATGGGTTACTGAAGATCAATTTCTAACCCGGATCTTTACGTGTGAAAATGTAAAGCCAAATCTTTCCCTTCGTCCCATTTATACCAAGTTATCCTTTAAACGGGGATGTCTTTCATCATCTTGCGTCACACATTAATGTCGTTTTCTGATTGGCTGGGCGCTCTTCTATTATTTTCAATGTACCCAACTTACAAGCGAGTAACACTCTAATTATTTTTTCTTGTCTTGTCGTCTGGTACTCCATACTATTATCCGATAACCGTGCTTTAAACAGTTCAAAATTACCATTGAGGTGCTCACTGGGCCCATGGGCTGATGTACCCTCGATGTTTCTTTATGTTCCCATTCGGGCTAGAGGAACATAAACGTATAGTGTCTGGTCAAGTGGATCTCATTCCGAAAACGTAGATATTGTGAAATAGTACAAAATTGCATATGTATTTCAGCTTCAAAAAACGGGATCGCTGGAAGCTGCCTTGCCAGAAGGTCATAGGAGTGTTGCCAATGTTGACGAAAATGACGATTCTCCTCTAAAAACTATTCGCAAAGAAGGACACGTAAGTGTACTATGAATATATCACTACATGTATTATTATACCCCTCTACGAAGTAACGGGGATACATAGTGTTCATTCAGCTGTCGTTCCGTTCTTCGGTCCCTTTGTCTTTCCGTCCCAGAACTTTGTCTGGAGCATATTTCTGGAAGTGTACATGCAAGGTTCACCAAACTGAACACACATCTTAATCATTACCCACATATGTGCTTCTTGCAAGTTTAAAGTTTATCAGAATTTGATTTGTTGCTGTTTTCATGGATACGTGCTAGGTTCAATTGATAAATGTAATCAGTAAATGGCAAAACTATTATCTGACATGTTTATATCAGGGTAGAGATTGCGATCTGGGAGATTCTACAAGTAAAGATTGCAATCGGAGTCACTACTGGTAGAAACTCTGATTACCTAAAATAACATATACAATCACAGTCTCTACCAGTAGAAGCTCCAATCTCATCCGACTAGTAGAGATTGCAATTCTACCCTTAAGCAACTTCAAACAAATAAAGTGAATATTTAGAAAAAAAAATATGCTCATATATTTTAGAAGAAAATTCATTAAAATGTATATTTGATTTGCCAAAATAGCATTACATTACAAATATTTTATGTGATATTTCTTCAAATAGCTTTAGAAATTATCATTCAACCACAAACAGTTTCATAAGACTGCTATCATTAATATACGTAACATATATTAAGTGATTGAGTGGTTTAGTATGAATAATAGATGTTTTACTGTTTTCCTTTCCCACTTCCATGTGTTACATTTCACTTTTGTTATTTCATGATTTTCTGTCGTGATCGTTGGCCTTTTATAGGCTGATATGAACAGACTTGGCTTTGGATTGTATATTGTGCCACTTGTTCTCCACCTCTTCCACAGATCTTGTTACGTCTAGAAAACCATGAAACTTATGATGAATATATACTGGTATTTATGACAACAAATATACTCAACACTGTCTTACTGACTGACTGACTGACTGACTGAGTTTGGTTTTACGCCGCTTTTAGCAATATTCCAGCAACATCACGGCGGGGGACACCAGAAATGGGCCTCACACAATGTACCCATGTGGGGATTCGAACCCGGGTCTTCGGCGTGACGAGCCAACGCTTTAACCACTAGGCTACCCCACCGCCCCCAACACTGTATACACTCTTAGTTGTAATTATTGTATTATTTAGTCATAACCCTGGATACAAACAATTCATGAATAAAGAATGTAATTACTTTACTATACAATTACTATCTACTGTTTTGAGTGAAAACCGATGGACTTTGTTGCAGATAAATTACGCATCATAATTCAACATTTCCGAATGAAGACACAATGATTACAATGATAGAAACTACAACTGGCCAGAAAAAGTATGCTTTAATATATTGAAAAGATAGAAACATCAATACAACAAGAATCAATTACATAAGAAATGAACATTTTATAATTATTTGAAATTAGTGTATGGAAATGTACATCAATAGTGTGAATGTGTGAGCGTCGACGACAGGGGACAATTCATTTGAAACTTATGACAAACTGATGTCTTTCAACAGTAAATTTGATTTTTATAAACACAATGCTGAAATATTCTCGAAAGTACTTGGCTAAAGAAATGCATTAATAATCGACATTCTAACCTGCTTCAATAAATTCATTAATACATTCTGTTATAATTCAGTTATTTGGTTACTGAAACATTTTTTTATAAAATAAACGTCACTCACTTTGGAAGGTGGAACTGATTTGAGAGCATATGTCTGTCCTTTTTCTCTTTCGCCTAGTAAGATGCTCTTGTTTTGCGCCACAAGGCGGGTTAGAAGCAAATTCTGTTCCTTCGTGCAGTTCGATTGTGTTTATATTTTTTCGTCGGAGGTTCCATTTTGCTGTCGTCTGCCTTAAATGTTTTCCTATCTTTTCGACTGAAGAGTTCGCTTCCGTTACTAAAATTAGACTTCGGGATTCCGAAACGTTTCCGCAAGATTTTTTTCTTAGTGTAGGTTAAGAAAGAAACTTAAAAATTCTCAAAGAAACTTAAGTGAAAACCTACGAAAATTCGTAGCCTTCTGTATACCGCCCCTGATGTTTAGTGATCTTCGTCATCACATTTTTTTAAAGAGGAAATCATTTGACTTTCTGGCTATAAATAGATGCACAATTGCTGATGCGGTTTTAAGATACATTTACTCATTCACCCCCAAAACACACTATCATTTTAACCGCAAGATCCAACATACACAGCTCTTTGTCACAATCAACTTTCATACTAAACACCAAACCCTCCAGAACTTAGTGCTGATTTTGGACACAAGATAGGAACCATGTCGTGTTTGATTACATTCATGTTTTGGACATGTTTAGGTTGTCCTTCCGTCTAAGGATGAGATTGAGAGAATGTCAACCGAGGAAGCCTTTCGAACATATCACAGGTATGTTTAACAGTTCGTGAGATGCATGTTCTTAATATTTTATGATGTGTTGCCTCTTAACCACTTATACCTAAACCACGCCGAAGGCCCGGGTTCGATTCCCCACATGGGCACAATGTGTTAAGCCCATTTCTGGTGTCCCCCGCCGTGATATTGCTGGAATATTGCTAAAAGCGGCGTAAAACTAAACTCAGTCAGTCACTTATACCTAAACCCGTGAAGATCCGGAAAAGAATTTGTCTTGGTAACCCCTGCTTGTCGTAAGAGACGACTAACGGGATCGGCAGGTCATTTTCGCTGACTTGATTGACGCGTGTCATCGTATCCCCATTGTGTAGATTGATGCTCATGCAGCTGATCACTGGATTGTCTGGTCCTGACTAGATTATTTACAGACCGCCGCCATATAGCTGGAATATTGCTGAGTGCGGCGTAAAACAAGACCAAACCAAACCAAACAACTTTTACCTAAACATGGCGAACACAACAGAATGGGAAATACACTCGTGAAGTATAGGTGTGTACGTGCAATAACCCTAACCCTGTTGCCATAACTACTGAGTATCTGTATGTTCGAAATAAGTAATATCTCAAATGCTCATGCGTTAATGTATATTCCTGTAGTGTATATAAACTATTGCCTTATTCATTTTCTATAGTTACCTTGACAACGTCGACTCGATATGCAACCGGAAGCTGCGGATGGGAAAGATAGGTGACGGAGGATGGGAGATATGCGACGATAAGCAGTACCGTCCTGTAAAACCTTGTATTGTTTACTCATTTGGGTAAGCTGATCTCTGGAACCTTGTATTTTGTACTCCTTTGGGTGAGCTGATCTCTGGCAACGATAAGCAGTACCGTCCAGTAAAACATTGCATTGTGTTCTCCTTTGGATGAGCTGATATCTGGCAACGATAAGCAGTACCGTCCAGTAAAACATGGCATGTGCAAAGCTGATCTTGATAAGCAGTTGTGTATTGTCTCCTTTGGATGAGCTGATCTCTGGCGATGATAAGCAGTACCGTCCAGTAAAACATTGTATTGTGCACTCCTTTGGGTGAGCTTATCTCTGGCGACGATAAGCAGTACCGTTCTGTAAAACTGTAAAAGCTGATCCTTGGTGACGATAAGCAATGTACCGTCCAGTAAAACACTGTATTGTGTTCTCCTTTGGGTGAGCTGATCTCTGGCGACGATAAGCAGTACCGTCCAGTAAAACATTGTATTGTGTTCTCCTTTGGGTGAGCTGATCTCTGGCGACGATAAGCAGTACCGTCCAGTAAAACATTGTATTGTGTACTCCTTTCGGTGAGCTGATCTCTGGCGACGATAAGCAGTACCGTCCAGTATACTCCTTTGGGTGAGCTGATCTCTCGACGATAAGCAGTACCGTCCAGTAAAACATTGTATTGTGTTCTCCTTTGGGTGAGCTGATCTCTGGAGACGATAAGCAGTACCGTCCAGTAAAACATTGTATTGTGTACTCCTTTGGGTGAGCTGATCTCTGGCGACGATAAGCAGTACCGTCCAGTAAAACATTGTATTGTGTTCTCCTTTGGGTGAGCTGATCTCTGGTGGTTTGTGTCTTGTTCCTGGTATAACACGGAGATGTGTAAATAATCGAGTCTGGACCAGAAATCCACTTCTTGAAGTCATGAGAATCGAACTGGGCAATGGGGATACGTTGACGTGGATCAAACAGGTCATCGCGGTTGAAACCCGATCCCTCTAGTCTCCTCTTGGGTTGCCGAAGACGAGTGCTATCCCGCGTCATATTGCTGTCGTAAAAATCGTAGATCTGTGATGGTGTCAACATTTATTGTAATCTGACCTGCTTTGGAAGAGTTGTAGAGAAATCAGTCATGTTATGGGGCCTTCTAGAACGTATTTAGACTTAATGGACGTGTCTCTCACTTTCCACATTACATCAAGACAAACGGTTGTCTGAAGATTGCGTTTTTCACCTGGAATGTCAAGTTCAGGCCTCGTTTCGAAGCTGGAATACTGTTGCTATGTGAATACTATCATCACGGTGGATCACTGAATGTTTTATGTAAACGCACGCTTGTCTATGTATCATTTATGTTATGATACTAAGTTCCACAACCCACGGGCATTCTAATTTGTATTTCTGCTGAAAAGATTTAATTTTGATATTTTTATTACACTGCAGGTTTGCTGGAGACATGCCAACTTGGAGAATTAAAAGTGATAGACAAATTAAATATGACGTTCATTGGATGCTAGTATATGAAATATATCATATTATTGTCACTGTTCCAGGATAAGTGCTTGCTCTTCAGTGGAAAGAACAGGGGCACGACTAAGAAAAAATGGAATGATTATAAGTGGTATCAGAAGTGTGTATTGTGTGTGTGCTTACATGTGCATGCCATTGTAGGTTGTGGTAAATTCAGTTCTGTTGTTTTGATGTATAATAACAACATTATTTAAGCAAAAGGACAAACAATTACTAGTATTTGAAAACATAAAAATAAGTTTTTTTATTTACAATGTGAATTGGATATCATCAGGAAATAGCGCTAATTTTCACATGATTAATTTACAGATCTCAAAGGTGAAAGAAAAGCCATGGATGTCAAGAAAGAATCATCAAAACCGGAGGTGGTCCAGCTCAATTTACCTCTGACTGATCTGGAATTTAAAGTAATAATTAAAGTTTTAATTTCATTTTGACAATGTTAATTCCAGGGATGATACAGGATATAAGGGGCTATAGGTAAAGTGTTCTCTCATAACTACCATCACCACCACTCTCCCTGCAGGGTTACAACATTATATTCACATCTGTTGATTTATTTCTTCCTAGTACACACATATTGAAATATAAATATTTATATGTTTTTGGTTTGTATCACTGATTCCACAGTGCCAGCAATTGAAGGGATTGGAGTCTGAGGTTGATGGTAAGAAAGTGAGTGTTTTTTTCTCAATCAATGTCAGAATATGTTCCAAATCGTTAAACAATCTTTAAGCTGATTGAATATTTTCAAATCATTTCCCTCTGTTGCATTGTGTATTTATTTTCAAATAATTATTACTGATAGTCATACTGAATATTGGCAAGCGTCCTGACATTACATAGATGATTAGGTGGCAAATAAACATAAATCTTTCAGTTTTCAACACACTTGACATGAGTCAGTGATAGTGGCCTATCACAGAAGACTACTTTGATTCGGACTTCACCAGCGATGACGGAGGAAAAGCAACGAAACACCACGGTATGCTTAATCAATAATGTATTTTAAAAGTTAAGGCATGTTTAAAGTTAAATTTGCTCATCAAGTCAGTTAGTCACAACTTTAACAATGTCATATATATGTACTTACAATGTGTATTGACCAGAACTTTAAAGTCCTTTAATTCCTTGCAGGTCCTATATCAATGTATGGAACCATCCAGTGGTGATGAGGCTACCTCTATGGCTGAACCTGACGGGAAACAGCAGATCAGCCAAGTCATAATTCAGCCTCAAATGGTAAAAAATGATAAAATAAACAATTGGAGTGTTGTTTAAATTCTACTGTTTCTGTAGGATATTAATATGATGTTACATTAGATTCGTTTAATAGTTATATTAGGCATTTTAATATTTATTTTAAAACAGATGTATTTTCCGGGATGTTACAGATAAAAGGACCTAAAAGTTGAACAGGGGCAGGCATGAAGAAATCTGGTATGAAAATTGATTAAATATGTTGCATGAAATATTATTTTAATCATGCCATTTTGGAAACTATTTTTGCTATCCATATCATCATGGAATAAAATCTTCAATGATATCAAATAATAAATACAATGTGTTTACAAATACTTTTCAAGGCCTCTACAATTTGATTTCTTTTTCATACTTTTTTTTTATCAGAATGAAATCATAGCATGTTGATCAATGAGCAAATAACATGGAAGTCACTGGTAATGTAATATAAATTGAATTTTATAACATTTGTGCAGAAAACCAAAAGCACCAGCCTGAATGTAAGTACCTCCATCATGGAATGGAGACTGCACCAGCGGATACAATCAAAAGAGGCGATTGAGGTGCAGAAAGAGAGATGGTTACAAAATATCGGAAGACCATCTCACTTTAAGAGCGAGAGAAAGGGCTTGATCTGGAGAAATCAAAGTTTCAACTTAGAAGCAACATGCTGATGAATCCAGGCAACAAATCTCCCCATACTCTTACCACAGTTATCAATTTATGTGTTCTTCCTAACCATGATAACATCCCAAGTATACTCACCTGTGTTTAAAATTAAAATATTCTTACGAATTTTGTTTGTTATCTATTTTGGTTATCTGCAAATGCATGTTTCATCCTATATATTTACTGTAATAAACATTATTACATTTAATCGGCTTCCTATGGCTACTGTGTTTTTGTTTTGCTTACACACTCTCTGCAATCAAGCTTCATCCTTGTTGAACATCCATCCTGGCTAGAGACAAGGACAGTTTTCCCAATTAACGCCGATCAACTTCCGTGTCGAGGTATCCACTGGTGGTGGTGCAATATTTTTGTCTATGCAGAAGTTGTACTTGCAGCAGAAAGCAGCCATGATTACAGGCCACACACATCTACTATGTGAAGCTGAACCATAAACATCACGGACTTATGGAGACATGCTGAAAAAGTCAGATAAACATTACTGTAGTTACGAACTAAAAGGTTATACCTTAAATATTATGTTTTGTACAATTTAGTTATGTTCAATTTCAACTAAATTTTTCCATAAACAAATAAATGGTACTATCAAGGTGAAACTGCTACACTGTTTGTATTATTACAAATCATCACTGAGATATAACTTGAATATTCACATGTAGCATTACATGAATATTTACAGAAAAACTCAAAGATCACGGACTATCCTGGTGCACTAATATAATGGAATATATAACATCACGGAGGATGAAAGTTATTTAGAATATTCTGAATCAAAAGAGTACTACTATACTGCTATATTTTGAATACCATTCATTCACAAATGGAACCATGAATATAATACTCACCATCTTGGACTCCAAATTGCCCTTTCAACTGTGTTCCTTGTCGGAAATATACGGGCTGCTGCTTGTATGAACCTGAGCGTCACCCGAGGGGATCTGCTAAAGGGGTCAGCATCCAAGGTCTGCATGCATATCTGTACAATGAAGTATGAAGGTACACTAACATTAAATTATTTTTAAAATGTATGATCATATCATTGAATTGGTATAGCAGCGATTATCTTAGGAAGCTACACAGGAATGAGACTTCAAACACGTATAACTACCACAACATATATGCTGTTAGATGACTATGGTTAAATGGTTTTACCCTGAATCATCAAGTGGCCGGCCATCTCAGGTGCAGTTTCTTCCATCTTCATGCCAACTTGACCTTTACTCCATATCAGAGTACCATGAGTTGAACCAGACCTACTTGGCAATTGCGTTTATTAAAGAGCTGAAATGTAGAACGTTAAACTGATGACGGTGTATTTCTTTTTCTAACTTATTACTTTCACGCCGATATTCCTGCAACTTCTTCCGTAAAACTTGCTGCATTTTATCAAAATCAGTAAAGAATCCAACACCGTGCACAGAATAATTTGGAACCAAAATGTTTGTTTTAAAAAGGTTTATTTACTTAAGCCTTCGTGAATTTGGGCAGGAAAATAATCCATAGAGCATTTAACGCGTATAAATGGGTTTTAAATGAAATTACTAATTTAAAACGAAGACTGAAAAGTACGACTCGTTTTCGTTTGACAAGAAA